GTAAAGTTCAGTATCGCTTCGACTTTAGTAGCCAGTGGGCGTATGCCCTGACAGTCAATAGTGTGACCCAGAAAATCGAGTGAGTCAACGCCTATTTGACACTTTTGGATATTGATGGTAACACCATGTTGGCGTAACCTTTCAAATGCCAAGTCCAAGTATCTAAGGTGAGTTTCCTTATCTGGACTGGCAATGAGGCAGTCGTCTAAGTATGCGTATACAAAGTCGAGACCGCGAAATACTTCATCGATGAAGCGTTGGAATGTTTGTGCCGCATTCTGGAGGCCGAATGGCATACGTTGGAATTCGAAAAGTCCGAAAGGTGTGATGATAGCCGTTTTCGGAATATCTTCCATTGCCATCGGGATTTGGTTATATGCTTTAACCAAGTCGATTTTGGAGAATATAGATGCTCCAGATAACGTTGCCGTCAAGTCGTGTATGTGAGGCAATGGGTAGCAATCATGGGTTGTTTTGGCGTTCACTCGCCGGTAATCACCAGTGGGTCGCCAATCGTTACTATCCTTTTACGGTACCATATGCAATGGGGATGCCCATGGACTATTCGATGGCCGAATGATGCCAAGGGTGAGCATTTGATCGAATTCATTTCTAGCAATTCTCAGTTTGTCAGGGGCCAGTCGTCGTGCTTTAGATGTCACGGGCTGTCCTGAGGTTATGACGTGGTGCATAACATTGCTGGTTATGCACGGGAGATCGTTAGATGGGCGATTGAGTTCCGGATATTTGTCAACAATCGGTTGAAAAGTTGGATCGAGGATTGCTTTCATCTTAACGATTGACAAGCTGGGGCCACTGTAAGTTATGCCTTTGATAGACAGACTAGTAGTGTTGTCAATTAGTCGTTTACGGCGGACGTCTACGAGCAAATCATGATGATTAAGTAGGTCCGTGCCGATGATGGGCATTGTGACGTCGGCGATAAGGAAAATCTACTGAATAGGTTTGCGTAAACCTACGTTCAGATAGACGTATTTCCGACCAAAGGTTGCAATTGGTTTTCCATTTGCAGCCTGTAGGTTGAAGTTAGGATCCTTCTGTCGATCTGCTGCTGTAGCAGGAAGGACGCTGACTTCGGCGCCTGTGTCGATAAGATATCTACTCTCGCTCACTACATCATGGATGTAAAGTAAGCGGCTAGTGCCACCGGCGACGGTTGCCGCTAACGCGTGCCTGCGGGATAGTTTCCCACAGACTTGGAGGCTTTGCCGAAATCACAAGGTTTTCGACAACATTTCGCTTCCTGGCCATAGGTGTTGTGATACCAACACCAGTCGGGATTTTTGAGAGAACGTGTGTTGGACTTAGATCTTCCACGTGCGTTTACCCGTTGAGGGGATTTAGAAGGACGATAGGAGGAATTGCTAGGCTTGTTTGACCTAAGCATCTGCTGGACGGAGTTGCATAACTCTATCATTGCGGAATCCTTCCTCGAAGTCTGTTCGGTAACTGACCGTTTCCTTATCTCTAGAATTCTATCTGCAGAGACAGCTAAGTCATCCATGAGAACACCCTGAAGTGTCACAAGTACAGTCTGAACTGACTGTGGCAGTTTGGCTAAAAATAGTTGTCTGAACAGTCCTTCATCGAACTGACTTTGGCCAATGATCTCTTTCATTCTTGCCAGCATGCTCACGGCTGACTGATCCCCTAACTCGATGTTACGAAATAATTCATCCAGACGTTGTCGATCCGTGAGAACGTTTCTCTTGAGGAGGGATGCTTTGAGCAACTCGTAGGGGTTACTTACCTCTGGACCCGACATCTGCAGAGTTAAGCACCTGCTGAATTCCCGCGGTAGGGCGTGAATAACTGCAAGGAACTGTGAACGTTGATCGGTTATGCCATGTTCACAAAAATCGGACTGAGCAATCTGAAACGACGTTTCAGCATTATCTGGCCAATATGGTACGAGCTGAATTGTTTTGGCGGTTGAGCGAATCCGAATAACCTTGGGGCTAGGGTCACTCATGACGAAATATATGCCGATTCCCAAAAAGTACAAGAACGAACACAAAGGAACGAACTCATCGGGTTTATCTGCGTGTGAATTGAAGATGTAGTTCGTGGTTGAGCACACCAGTTTAGTGGCTGACGGTATGAACGTTCGCGAACTGTACCGATTATACTGACGCAAGATCTTATACCAACAACTTCTATAGTGTTCGTTCTTCGAGTACGAAAGATAAAGCAAAAGACCAGAATTTGTCGTCCAAAGTACGTAGTATATTTCGGGACAAAGTCGCGGGTAGAGGTGAATGCTTAGCTAGCTAGTAATCGTGCACGCACGTGACACGACGGAGTACCAAATGGCGGGGATGCTTGACCAGAAGCCTTCAGCTAAACAAGTCGACTTAAACAGTGAGGATCAGCATCCAATGTTGAGTGATGATTGCTGTGGTTAATAATTTTGGGGAATTATTTACCGCTACACTAGTATTAGGTCACCCCTAAGTCGTCTGTATGACAGTGGAAATAAACACAGTCGACTTAACCTCTCCTCATATGGGAGGGTTGAGAAACCCTTTATTAGCTTAGTTCCTACTCTTTGCACTCTTTCTTATAAGTCTATTTCGTATTTGAAACACTGGCTCGCTGCCTGGATCCCATATTCCAAATGAGGTCTGATATCAGTTGGGTATAATATTCGAAATATATCAGTGTCAAAGTTCGCAAAAGCCTTGCGTATGGCCCATAATATTCGAAAACTCTTAGTGGCTGCTGTTTTCAAGTCCTGCTGCACAACCACTCCCAAGTCCTTGTACTCAGTGACCACTGGGAGAGTAATGCCATTCACTGAGTAATTGTGCACGTGACTATGAGATACATGCATAACTACACTCTTGCTTAAGTTAATCTCGAAGGCCCAGTGCTTACACCAATCACTTAACAAGTTTAAATCTTCCTGCAAAGCAAGTTGATAACTGTCATCATGTAAAGCCCTCCATATCTTGATGTCATCAGTAAACAGTAAGCTGGATGACTTAACTACCAATGGAAACTCATTAACATAAATCAGGAAAAGAGGTGGGCCTAGTATTGTACCCTGAAGAACGCCACTATTAACCGCAATAGTACGACCGCTAGCTCGTTGGGCGCTTGCGATAGACAAGCCTAGCCACTACGTCAAGGAAGCAGCTATCAGTTTGGTCACACGATGATAACAAAATGGCACCCGGATTTCCCATTAAGCACTAATGTTTGCAGCTATTTAGATTTTTGATGCATCTTTATTCTACTAAATTACTTGATTAACTGATTGTACTTCTACCTCAAACAATTAGTGAGAAATATTACTGCCTAAAATCCGTATATATTTTTCTTTCAAATTTAATAAAATAATTCGGTCTAAGCATGTGAAACTTTAGAATAACAAAGCCTTGAGTGATTCGCCTGTTGTTAGACAAAGTATGTTACTGAGTAGTACTGATGAATTATCTTTCACATAAAACTTTTAATCCAACTACACTTGGTGTGAAGATGACTCTCTCGCAGCATCGATGATTGGCTGACAGAATCACGCTAATCACTATCAGACAGGACACACCTTAGTCCTAAAAATCTCACCACCATCTAAACGCAAACTTCATTTAAGACACTAACTGCATGACTTAAACTACATCATGTTCCAAAAACACAGTTTATCAGTTGACCGTCAGTCTCCGTAAGCATAGAATATCCATTGAGTCGTTCAACTGAAAAGTGTACTGTTTCAAGATTGGCAGGAGCATGTACCCACACTGACACTCTCAGGTCAAGCACTAAATGTAGTCAATAAGTTTCTGTATCTAGGTTGTTGTGTGAGTAGTGCTACAGGAAGTATGACGGATGAGACCTCCAGCAGTACACTGACAGTCACGGGGTCACATGGCAATCTGGATTACCTCTGAGTCCAACATGACGTCAGCCTTGTTGTCGAAGGTCGGATTTACAATGCTTCAGTGAGCATGTTTTTCCTCCACACCCTTGAAAGCTGCCCCCTCTGTGGTGAAATGTGACCACTGTGAGTATTTGACCAACACCACCTCCGTATCAATGCTTTCATCCCGTGGCATCATCGTGTAAGTGATTGTGAGATCCGACAGTGTTTGTTTGAACACAGTGGAGACCGTAATTCATTCAACGTTCTCATTTTGGAACACCTATTTCAGTAGCTTGAATATAAGCTAAGAATGACATTGTAGAGGTTCCAATAGCGTTCATTGTTTGGAGGTCCTCCCGCTTGGTGGAGAAAGTGGAGGCAATGAACAGGTCTTGCCGTGTCCTCGCTGGGTGAAGGATATTTGTGTCAGGTTAACACATGTTGGTGCATCACGAATCTATGGAATCACCCTGAGAGGTATTTTAGATCAATGCATCAAGAAGTTATCAGATATAACCGAGAATCGTAATCGTTGGTGAATATACTGACATTTCTTCCGTCTCTGCCAAAGAGTGAAGTTGAGAATCAACCTTAATCATGTCCGAAAGTAGCTAAAAGAATTAAATATAACATGCTCGAGACTGTTAATTCATTCCCAGGTTTAGTAAAATGCTAGTGAAATAATGGGGAAATGGTCACTGGTGATTGCATTCAGACCAGTGCTTCATAGTGTTATGGGTCACTCCGTCGGTTAACCTTTGAAACTTCGAGTACGGAATTGTAACGCACTGAAGGATAGTAACTAGGATCTACTCTTTATATCGGAACCTTACATAAAATTTATATAGTAGTACTGTATGTTGATCTGGTTGTCTTTGGTTACCGATTGTAGAGTAGCATGAATGACAGATACTATTACAAGCGGTTAACATCTATAATCCAAACAACTGACTTGCTTGTTACTTCAAACTCTAAGTGAGAAGCCAAATATGACCTATTATGAAACCTCCTTCTTAAAACTAAGCGACATCGCATTGGATTACAAAACACCAAAATAGACCGTGGAGCATCTGAATACATAAAAGAAATCAAAACATAGGAATAAATCAGTTTTTATTTATACAATAAGAACAGCATTTACACAACCTTCATTTTCAGGATTATTTGTTACTTGAGCATATTTACCCCATACAACTTTGCCACCTGGTGTAACTAAACCCAAATCACTGACATTCACCTATATTGCAAAAAGAAATAGTTACAAAAATCATATTTAACGACATTTAATAGCAACAGCACTTCGAGAATGTAGTTATGTCTTATGTATGTTACTCTAAAAATACCAGTTAGCACTAACGCTGTGTACCTTTTGTTGACACAATTTTTACAACCGTTAAGTCCCCTTTTTGCTGTACGATGACAGCTGGTATCAATAAAAAACGAGTACCCTGAGATGCGGTTGACTGACGTAGGCACTCAACTTTTATTCAATAAATTCTAGGTTTAAATCCTGTTCTACATACTTTAGCCAGACCAAATGAGTGGCACCATCAGTCCTCCTACAATGGATGTGGCTAATATTGTGGTACATGAAAAATCCGTTTCAGATGACTGGGTTCGAACTAACTAACTACCTAATTCTAAAAAACAATTACAAGAAACTAGAAAGCCTAGTGTAGTCACTTAGGGAGATAGCATTTCGTTATGACTGTCAATTTGGTCCTACAGAGGCTTGACTATTAAGCAGTTATTGTCACGAAAGGTGAGGGCATTGTCAGACACTTACTGAGATACTAGTTTATAGAAAATGCGCGACATATAAAATTCGTAAGGTGAGGTATACTTCAGTTTATTTTTCTAGCTCATTACTAGTGTCAGATGAAAATAACTGACTTGTAGTTAGCACCTTGGGTTCAAAGATTTTCTGTGTAGTAAATGATAACTCCAGATTTCAGCAGAAAGAGAAATACTGACAAGACTATAGTTGTGTCTTAATCGTGAATTAAACGCAAAGTAATTTTAATCATCAGCCAAATTCAGGGAACATGAAAAGATGATTCAGTATAAAATGATACGGTAGACTAGACAAATTCAAATATATCAGACAAAAAAACCTCAATGACTGTGCCTTTGGTTATAACGCCAAGTGTAGTATACATAGGAGAACTTGGGTTTTTCTTGACACCTATTATTGGTAGTTGAAAAGTGGTTTTCAGTTCGGGATGAGTAACATTGGCCTTCTTCACACGTAAACCCATTGGACGGATAAAACGTTCGAACTTTGGAGGTTTTCTTGTGAATGTATCTCCCACAAAGCACATTTTTGTAACTAGACGTTTCCAAGCTTTACGTTTTGACTTTCTAGTTCGTACAACTTTAAATGCCTCGGTTTCAGACACACTTCTGACCTTTGGTAGTGGGACCTCCCATTTTCCCTGATAGTAGTAAACAGAGGAATCATGAGAAATACATCAGATACAATAAAATCTGTTGAAGTTAGCACACAATGCACTGTTTTTTTCGAAATATCATAAACAGTACGTGTCTGCGATTGAGTTCACTAAGAATACTCCGTAAGTTTTTCCCAACATGCGTTGTTAAGATCACTGTTTTATTATATAACTGGAATCATTAAATATTTACCTCGAAGAAAAAGCATTCTCCGTTCGTTCCATGACGGATACGACAACTTTATCCACTTATGAGACATGCGCGAAAAGCCAACTCCTAATTGGTAAGCTTAAAAGAGGCAACTTTGGGCACGAGATATCGACTAAATCTAGGATGGATATTATGATTTCTTTACCGGTGAAATATTTCAGAAAACAAGTGTATGAATTTATGTTGTACGATTTATTGTACGAATCGATGTGAAGAATATCTTCGGAACAGTAAGCTGCTGTGCAAAAGTTCAATATACAGATATATAACGGGAACACAGCGAGAATTATCTACCTAAAACTGACATTTTTCAAATGAATAAATTCACATGGTGATGTATATAGGAACAAAAATTCACTTTTTTATCGAGAATATGTTGAGGACAAGTGGAAACTCTGGCGTGGAAAAATTGTACTATTTGAAATAACTAGTAGTATAGGAACAATTAAAAAATAGCAAAACCAACAGCACGTGGTCTGATGCTTCGAAGAGATAACGGGAACTAATGAAATCTTTCTAAAAAACCAGCTGTTCACGTTGGGTCGAAAAATCGTTCGCTTCCTCGTGTATGAAGAGCGTTGAGGATACTGCATCTTTACTAGTATGCGCTTCGAAATCACCACAACTCAGAAGCCTACAAAATATTTTTACTCCACACTGCGCTGCCCAAATGATGCAATGACAGTAGAGAAGCTGAATATAATTTACACAATAAACTGTAGTAACTGCAACAAACAGCAGGTAGTTGGTCTCCGCATTAGAAAACACCAGTCTTTATATGACTGTGACTAGGTATCTTTTTAGATTAAGTGAATGTCTATGGACAGGATTATGACTTTCAAGATGTGGAATTCGGAAGCACAGAAGGAAGGAAGATCAATAAGCCAATCTGCGGCCAACTGACAAAGACCTAAATTCAACCTAATGTTTGATGAAGAATACGACATAGAAATGACTGAGCGATTGACTGAGTTTCGACATAGAACTTTGCATAAAAGTGTAGCAGTTCTAGTTGTAACACTCCACGTAGCACACAAAGGCAGAAAAATGGAAAATAAAAGGGATTCAAAAGGACTACAATGAGAGGAACACTGGGGGGAAAGGAATAATAATATGGAAAAACAGTAGGGCCTAATGGATATGGAAGATCACAAAGAGTGAATACGTCTGCACCGTTGAGAACGATTTTCAGCCATATTCGCATTAATCTTCAGCCATCCGTTCTAAGCATCCCGAAGACCCCAAATAGGGGACCTGTACTGAAGACCGTGTCAGTAAGGTAAACAACCAGAAAATGCGAACAGATACATAGGATGCAACAAATAAAGCAAAAATAACACAGTAAAAGCCTTACAAATGGCGAATAAATGAATATATCGCTAGTCAGAAATCAAAGGGTAGTAAAGTTTGTATAGAAGGCGCTATACAAAAGAAACTGAAATTTGCACCAACATGCAGTGACTTAATTTGCCACACTTCATGACGTCTCCATCATGATAGACGGAAAATCCAAAAAATCGTTATGAACGAAGTCTACAAGACAAGCGACTTAGTTAGACGGCTTTGTGCAACATGTGAAGAAGACCAAATAGTCATTGGATTTTTGACTATCTTAGAGTATCAACTAAAATTTAGCAAGTGATCGACAGCTAAAGAGATTATACATGATTTCTGGCGTCTCATGAAATGTCCTCACAATCAAGAAAGCCTAGTGCATGTTATTCTGAATGTTGTAAGTGATTGCTTCATCGAACACTCTACACACGCCAAAGAAACTCCTGAGTGCATCAGATGAGTAGACGTGATCACTGAGGATAGGTGAGCATTGAGACCTGATATCTATGCAGCTAAAATCTGGTGATGATGATGATGATGATGAAGAAGTCACTGGATACAAATTTTTATTTGATTGTTCACGCGTGATTCTGATCATCGCGGACACCATACGGCTCTCACGATTACCATCGAGGCGGGTGGAGATTACTGACACAACGCTCACAGTGAACAAGGTGATGAATTCACTTAGTGAAGTGTAAAGATTTCCACTTGATAGGAATGTAGGCGAATCTACTAACAAGAGCAAAGTAGTAAAATAATAAAATAACTGCTGATTAAATGCTGATATCTTAACAATCTCCGTTATGATTTCAAACATTTCTTGTATATATATCATCCATTCTACACAAGTGTAAGTGTGAAAGTTTTCAAGTCTGCCGTGTGCAGTGCGCATTTGCATAAATCATCCTAGTTTTCAACAATCTTAACTTCTTTTTATTTCAAGTTTCATACTCACATTTTCCGTTGAAATTACTATTCAACGCATTATTTCTATGATTTCTGAAATTTTTATTTTTATCCTTTTGAATTTATTATAGCTTGATTCCACACAGTATTTTGGTACAAGAATGAAATTTTCAGCATGTGATATCCATAGCCTGAATTTAGCAGGCCGACCATTGATATCGAGTGTGAGTCGGCCGAGGATTGAACATCGGACCATGTGCATGGTCAGCGAGAGTCCTAACAGCTGTTCCACCGACGCACATTGTATTGGTGTGATACACTGACTATCTGTTTCATCCACTCAGATCATTTGAGTAGTCTATCTATCTATCTATAATGCTGCATGCATTATTAGTATTATTAATAATGTAGTATTATAGAAAGTTGGGAACATAGATCTGTTGCATGGAAACTAGCATTAACTTGATTAAAAATCGTCAGCGAGGCGTATCTGTAAACTAGAGTGAAGTATCACAATGTTGTGGAAATTCAACTGTCAACAATACATAGAAAATTACCGAAATTATTTGAACAGAATTCGCTCAACTGGCAACAACATATTGACCGTGGATAATGCGAAAGCTCATTAGAAAACGACTGAATTTTGTGGATGAGTGAGAAGGTGGATGGCTTTCTCTTGACTGTGACAGTAATGCAGAGATCTGAAAATCTCCATTTTACTGTCAAACGGATTTGGCTAGAGAATTACATCACATCACCATAGGTACTCATCGAATCAGCAAAGATTATTTCAGGAAGAAACGTGGATGTGTGTACAATCACATTCTCATGGGCCATTCGATTCCATCCACTTGACAACATTCAAGGAGTCTAAGTTTCGATATCTAGAAAAGCAATCGTAGTCACTTATCAGATCAGATGTACGCACTGGCCAATAGATTGAATTCTCAAGGAAATAACTGTCGAGGAAATCTGCAATTTTCAAATGTCTACGCTTGATGCCCACTCCTGTGTAAATCGACCACACAGCGGAATTGAAATCAAGATGTGACTAATAACAGTGGGTATGATTTTCATTGTCCACTGTCAACTCAGCCAAATCTGTTTCCGGCACTACATCTATCAACACGAAGTCTCTACATACGAAGAATCAGCTTGAAATGAGGCAGCACAACATCACACTGACGAATATTTGTTCATGGCACGAAGTGGTCAGCGACTGTTTTCAACATTGTGTCAAGTCTCTAGTAATTTAGCTGAAATCAATCAATCGAAATGATTCTCGAATAAAACAAAGTCAATACAAGTCATGTCATTCACAATACAGTAAATGTATTTCCCAAGTCAGTCACTTCTTAAAATTACTGAAAGTGCCTTTATTTCCTCCTCCTGCATGATCACACCAAACAATGAGCATAAAATGCGTGAACTGATTTATTGTGTGAGTGATGTCAGTGTGACGAAAGTTTACGTCATAATGCGTTTCATGAATGAAGACTTTTCAATAGAATGCATGGTCGCTTAATTAGCTTATATAAGTAGTATAATGCGTGTGTGAGTGCGACACAGTTCGATACAGTTAGATCGATATGTATTGCACTTACGAAGGTGAAATACAATTTTTCGTGATCAGCAAGAACAGCGAATGCTATTGAGAACAGCGAATTTCATACTGAAATCGTATTTTGTTGAAATTTTCCATCAATTATGCAAAATGGATATTTGTGGGAAGGTAGTTGGTTTGATTACAAGTAATGACTGTCTTTCTCTGCGAAGATTAATCGCAAATTTTGAAAGCCGCCGAGAACAGAATTGCATGGTAGCTTTCAAAATTGGCGATCAATATGAAATAAAACAAGTATATTCGGTGATTTTCCAATTGCTTCCACTGGCATTAATGAAACCTGACCTCAGAGATATGTGTAATGTGGAAGCAGGAGGTGGTGGGTTTGTCTTCTGACTACATGTGTCAGCCTTCTTCACACGAATCGTAATGACCTTAGGAATGCAAAGTAAGTGCGTTGGTGGCACAGCAGTTAGGACTATCGCCAACAATGCACTGGGTTCGATTCCCGACCGACTCAACCCAGTGAAATGGGTCAAAAATGCATCTTAAGACAACTGCTGATTGCATGCATAATGAGACTTCTGATGGTCTACTCAACTATAGTTGCATAGTAATCTGCTGAATCTCACACAGTATTCAGTCCTACAATATGTGTAGTATCTGCAATGCTCGACTCGAAGCATTATCACCAAAGTCACGGGAACTGACCTGATGTATGTGGATGCATTTGAGTTACAGTCGGTATTAAAGCAGGTAGGGTCGGAAAATTGATCGCGAAGGTAAACTCACACTGTTAAATACACCACTGCCGATGAAACCGCAAGGAGCGAAGGTGGATCTCTATATTAC